AAAAAAAAAAAAAGAAAAGAAATGCTCTGCCAGTGGCACCTGTAAACTGAGTGGGGATGAGTTCTAGTGACTGGTCAGAATCATATCACAGTTGGCACAAGAAAACAGATGGGTGTTGCCAATATGATCAAGGAAAATTCTGCCTCTTTCTTTCTTTTCTTTTCTTTAATGATAGAGTCTCACTCGCTTGCCCCCAGGTAGAGTGCTGTGTTGTCATCACAGTTCACAGTAACCTCAAATCTTAGGCTCAATCAATCCTCCTGCCTCAATCTCCTGAGTAGCTGGGACTACAGGCACTTGCCACCACACCTGGCTAATTTTTCTACTTTTAGTAGAGATGGGGTCTTGCTCTAGCTTGGACTGGTCTTGAAGCCTGAGCTCAGGCTGTCCACACACCTGGGCCTCCCAGAGCGCTAGGAGCATAGGTGTGAAACACCATGGTGAGCCTACATTTTTATAACTGAAGTTCTAAAAACCCTAAGCTGCAGTGAGATCAGCAGCTCTTCACTCCTCAGCTGGGATGAAGCCCCCTGATTTCAGTCTTTATATAACTTATTCCACTGAGAGGGAGCATGGCGTTTGAGCAGGGCACAGGTGGCCTAGTTCTGGCTGGACTCCAAGTGGACCTTGATCCACATGCCTTTTTCATCCCCCTCACCCATTGTCCTCTGGGTTCTTACTTGGAGATGCTCGCTTCCCTGAGGTAGAATGACAGGGGAAGTAGAGTGGGCTTTCAAATCAAATAAACTTGAATTCAAATCCTAGTTGGCATGACTCTGAAGAGGTTGCCCTCTCTGAGGCTCAGTTTCCTACAGAATGCAGAAGGGCGATGCCCTTTGGCTTTCATGACCACTGGTAAGCAAATGTATGTAGAAGCCCCCGGCACCGGGCCAAGCACATGGCAGGTGCTTGGTAAGTGTTACAGCCTTCCTTCTATCTCTGCAGTCCCCAATCCCAGGGCCATAAACCCGTACTGGTCCATGGCCTGTTAGAAGCCAGGCCACACAGAAGGAGGTGAGCAACAGTGAGGGAACAAAGCTTCATTTGTATTTACAGTCACTCCCCATCACATGCATCACTGCCTGAGCTCCACCTCCTGTCCGATCAGTGGCTGCCTTAGATTCTTGGAGGAGAAACCTACTGTAAACTGTGCATGTGAGGGATCTAGGTTGTCTGCTCCTTATGAGAATCTAATGCCTGATGCCCTGAAGTAGAACTGAGGCAGTGATGGTAACCCTGAGGAGTGGCCGCAAATACGGACTGTCATTAGTAGAGGGGTTTGACTCCACAAAGACCAAAATAAATCAGTTGCTGTAGACTCATATCAAAACCATTCTTCCAGGCGGCACCTGTGGCTCAAAGGAGAGGGGTGCCAGCCCCATGTGCTGGAGGTGGCGGGTTCAAACCCAGCCCCAGCCAAAAACTGCAACAAACAAACAAACAAACAAACAAAAACATTCTTCCACCCGCATCTGTGGACAAATCGTCTTCAATGAAATCAGTCCCTGGTGCCAAAAAGGGTGGAGCCTGCTGTTCTGTCTCTCTTCAATCCTTATTGTGCAAGCCTCAACCATCCTTTGAATAAAGACATCTCGTCTTCCATGAAAATTGTCCTAATTATTGGAGATCAGTTTGCAGCAATTTTCCAGTGTTCATCACACAAATTATCTCAATACATGAGCGCCATATTATAGGAGGAAGAAAGGAGGGAGGAAGGAGCATATAAGGATCCAAGCTTCAAGTGATATATTTAATGGGCAAATAAAGGGTCCATTTCCCACTAATTATATGAAAATATAATTCTTTATTGAAAGAACTAACTATAGGCATTTATTTCTATAATCTACTACATTCATGAGAATATTAGAAAATTAGAACCATATTTAAAGAAAAATATTTAAAACCTTGAAATAATTGTTTTCTTCATGCATACTTAATTATTATAGATTATATTCACAGATTTCCCTACCAGCGGGGCTGAGACTAGGATGAAGCTAGAAAGGCACTGACTCTCAGGGTCTACAAGCGCAGAGCTGGCCCTGAGCATTTAACCTGCCTTGCCCCAGTCCAGCCCTGCTCATGCTCAGACGTCTTGAGGGTGGGGGAGGGGAGGGGGAAAGTACAGCAATCCCCTGCCTCTTATGGCTGGTAGTGGTGATGGTTGCCAACTGTGCCACGGTGTAATGTGGGCAGGTGGAAAGAGCTGCTGGGATTGGCTGGCAGAATTCTGAGTCTCTGCACCTGCTTATTTTCCAAGACGCTCATGATTTATAGGTGCTAGCCCAAAGGCCTCTCTCTCCTCTGATTGCCTATGCCATGGCCATGAGCCCTCACAATTTAGTACTTAATTCTTTGTTGTCATGAATTTGGCTCCAGTTTTTTCATGTGTCGCAAGATCGGTCTGTGGCCTTGCCCATGTCAATTATCATCTTTACGCATCCATTTCCCCACAGTGGAGTAATAAGGAAAACATTTAGTAGTTTCAATTATCTGTTGGATGTTCTCCATATTTTTGTGGCTTAAGATGACAGTTTCTTTTTTTTTAATTTCAGGTTAATGTGAGGGTACGGACAACTAGGTTACAATGTTTGCGTATGTCAGGTGGAGTCCCTCTTGTAGTTGTGTCCCATATCCTAAAGGTGTGCAGTATACCTTTACACTGTGCCCATTAAGTGGGAACACACCAATTCTGCTCCCTCCTCCCTTCTCCTCCCCCACGCTCCTCCCTGCACCCTCCTTGAATAGAAGTGAGTTTTTCACTTATGTGGGCCTGTATTAGATCGTCTACTGGCTTCATATCGGCATTGAGTACATTGACACTTGCTTCTCCATTCTTAAGATACTTTACTAAGAAAAATGTGTTTCAACTCTATCCAGGTTAATACAGAAGATATAAAGTCTCCATCTTTTTATGGCTATACATATACCACAGTTTGTTACCATTCCTGAATTGGTGGTCATTTAAGTTGTTTCCACATCTTGGCGATGGTATATTGAGTTGTGATAAACAATCTAGTGCATATGTCTTTGTGATAAAATGATGTTTTTTTTCTTCTGGATAGATTGCCTAGTAGAGATAAGGGAACACTTTTAGTGTTGGTAGAACTGAAAATTAATACAGCCTCTTTGGAAAGAAGTATGAAGAATCCTTAAAGAACTCAAATTAGACCTCCCATTTGTTCCCACAATCCTATTACCAGGTTTTTGGGGTTTTTTGGTTTTTTTTGAGACAGAGTCTCACTTTGTCACCCTCTGTAGAGTGCTTTGAGTTATGATGGCAAACCCTTGGACTCAAAGTGATTCTCTTGCCTCAGCCTCCCAAGTAGCTGGGACTACAGCTATAACACCCAACAACACCCAGCTATTTTTTAGAGACAAGGTCTTGCTCTTGCTCAGACTGGTCTTGAACTCCTGAGCGCAGACAATCCACCTGCCTAGGCTTCCCAGAGTGCTAGGATTACAGGCATGAGCCACCATGCCCGGTCTAGACAGTTTCTTATTATATCCCACGAGTGTGGGCCGACTGGGCTTGCCCAGGCACCTCTACATGATGGTGGCAGGGACTGGAACCTCTGAAAGCTGCTTCTCTCACATGCCTGGGGGCCTCTTCCCTCCAGGTGACCTTGTCACTGGTCTTCTCACAGTGTTGGGTCTTAGACAGATTGACTCCTTATGTTTTTCCAGAGCCATTTGCAAGAGGCTCAGACAGAATCTGCAAGGCTTTTCATGAACGAGCCTCAAAAGTCAATGTGGCACCCCTACCATCCTGTTCTATTTAGAAGGGGAAAACAAGTCACAGGACTGGTTCAGAACATGACTCTCAGTGAGAGAAATACAGGGGCACACACTGGAAAGGTGGCCATGTCCAGACCAGCTTGGAGAGTGGCCCCACAGTACCTATTAGGGATGTTGTAAGGGTCAGGAGGGAATGTCTAAAAGTGATTATGAACTGTGACATGCTACATGGTGTGGGAGATCAGTCCATGTTTAAAGCAATCACTGAAACATATCCTAGACCAGGGGTCAGCAGACTGGCCTGCCTTTATAAGTAAAGGTAACGCAGGCATCCTCATCCTTCCCCTGTAGCTGTTTTCCCACCATAGTGGTGGAGTTGAATAGTTGTGACGTGGACTGTATGACCTGCAAAGCCTCAGAAGAAAATGCTTGCGGGTATTTTGTTTTTTGAGACAGGGTCTCTCTCTGCTGCCCAGGCTGGAGAGCAGTGATGTAGCCTTGAACTCCGGGGCTCAAGTCTCCTCCTGCCTCAGCTTCCCAAGTAGGTGCACCTACAGGAACGTGCCACCATACCTGCCAATTTTTAAATTTCTGTAGAGAAGCGGGTCTTACTTACTATATTGCTCAGGCTGGCCTCAAACTCATGGACTCAAGCAGTCCTCCAATGTGGCCTCCCAAAGTACAGCAATAACAGGAGTGACCCACCATGCCTGACTTTGAAATTACTTGGGAACGCAACCTGCCTGCTAATGAAACATTCCAGGTTTCCACAACTGAGAAGCAGCAGCTGCTCTTCCTGGCACAGAGGGTCTGCTGCTTTTGTGCTCGGAGAGAACAGGGGCATCGCTGGCCTCCCGTCCCCCATGTGCAGGGAGCATGGGCATTGATGGAGATGCTGTGTCCACCTGGGCGCATCGTTCAGCTCCTTGACCTGCTGCAGTGTTGCTAACATGTGCTGGTGGGACCCCAACCTGGCAAAGCCCGGCTCACAGCTGGCAGGCTCTCCACTGTGAGTTGTGGGGCTCAGATGAAACGTCCTTCCCAGTAGCTAGTTTAGTTCGTTTTGGCTCCAGGAAATATTCTAACCCCTCATGATGGTTTGTAGTTGTAACTTATATTCCATCCACACTAGTCAAGAGCCCAATGGTAAACAGATAAACTCGTGATAGGATAAAAGAGGGAAGGATTATTTATAAAGGGACCAGCTACAAAGATGTGGGTGGGGCCTAGGGAAGCCCCGAGAGGCAAGGGGGGCTGGGGACAGCAGCAGGACCCTTCACGGCTCTTTCCCATTTGGGCACAGGGGCGTTACTGGAGCCCCAAAAGAGCAGTGGATAAAGTCAGCACCAGACCAGGAGCAGTGGCCTGTCAGTCAGCCACACAGGCAGCTTTGTGGGGAAGGAGACAGCAAGGGACACGCTCAGAGTCCTTCTCTGCTCCTCTCTAACTTCCTACCAGGTCTTCTCATTAATCAAACACAGCCAGAGGCCAGAGGGTGCGAGAGCCTGTTGCCTGGGTCTGTTGCCTTGGTCTGGACAGGTCAGTCTCCCAAGGCAGAGAGCAGAGGAGCTGGAGCAGCGGGTAGAATCTCTCTAGCATCCTACTTTAAAAAGAATTCAGGGAGTTTATGAGCAAAAAGAAAAGGAAAACATTGAAAATGAAGAAAAAGCAGAATGAATGAGAGCTAATTCCTCTAGGTACCAGCTGTGAACTGGTTACCTGGATATTCATTTTTCTGTTAAACTTCCTAGCAGCCATGCAAAGGGGAAACCTGGCGGGCTGCAGCATCTGCACTGTGTGTCTGCAGAAGCTGAACTAAAAAGCAGAGGGCACCAGATTCTCCCAGGATGCCTCCACCTTCCCTGTCCCAGCTCTTGGCACTGATGGGACTCGTGTGCCTTGAAGGCATCCGGGAGCCTATCTTCCTGGGAAGAGAAGAAATGCAGCATTCCTCATTTGGGAAAATGTTTGTTTCCAGGTTTCAAGGAGGATTTTCAGATGGATGTTTTTAAGGTCCTGGCAGCCATCCTACATCTGGGCAACGTGCAGATCACAGCGGTGGGCACAGAGAAGTCCTCCATCAGCGTAAGAGACTCGTCTGTTTCACCTGTCCTGGGTTTGAGGGCCAGTGGCAGAACCGCTCATGGATGACCGACCTGCCTTTGCATTTGAGCAGCAGACACAGTGGGGCTCCTGGAAAGACTAATTTTTTTTTTTATTTTTAAGTCATAAACACATAGATCCTGTACACATGGATGCCTTTATGGGGTGTAATGTGCTGATTTTATATACAATTAGAAATGCTTACATCAAACTAGTTAATAGAACCTTCACTTCATTTACTTAATTGTTGTGTTAATGGAAGGAGGGTAAAGGTGGGACCATTCCTAGAAAGACTAATCTAACAGGAATGAGGAAGCCAGGGTTTCTAGGGCTTTCCTGGGAAAAGTAAAAAAGCTTCCTTCCCTTACAACAGTGGGAAGAGGGGGAATTCTTTGTGTGTTTTTCTTTTATTCAACAAATATTTTTGGAGCACCGACTAGGTGCTAGGAGCTGTTACAGGCTCTGGGGAACCAGCAGGGAACAAAATAAATCAAGAAACTCTTTGTGGAGCTTATGATATCAGGGAGGCAAAAGGAGGAGATGCAGTCAACAGGCTCCAGCAGCTGGTGACCCGGCTGTCACAGAGGGAAATAAAGCAGAGTGAGGGGCACAGGGCTGTGCATTTTGTGGAGGGAAGTCAGGGAAGTCTTTCTGATAAGTGGCACAGGCAGAGGCCTAAAGTAGACAAGGAAGCCAATGATGTTTTCGTGCAGGGAACATATGAAGTAGAATGAACAGATGCAAAGATGCTTAAGCAAGAGATTTTGTTTGAGGAGTAGCAAGAAATTCACTGTATCCAGAAAGGATTGAGTAAAAGGGAGGGTGGTGGATGAGAGCAGAAGGGGAGGGTACCGACTGTGTAAGACATTCAGGGCACTGGGCAGCTTTAAGCAGAAGGGACACTCTGCATTTTCCTCTGCCTGCTCAATCCAACATCACTGGTGTGGCTTCCTGTCCAGGAACGTGTTCCCATGGACATTTTCTGCTGGGGTTCTTTCTTTATTTACCCTGGATGTAAGATAAGTTTATGTATGTGTCTCTTCTGTGGCAAATAGTATGAGTAGTGACTCTTAATGGGGGATGTGTGTTTAATTAGTCTCGACAAAGTCCACGTAAAGAAGAAGAAAACACGCAGTCAAATACATTTCTACGAACTGTAAAATCTCCACATCTTTAGAGCTTTTTATTAACATGTCTGTCTTAGTCAACTCAGGCCACTGTAACAAAATACCATTGACTGGTTGGCTTAAACAGCAAGCATTTGTTTTCTCACAGTTCTGGAGGCTTCAAGGTCAGGGTGCTGGCATGATCCAGTTTTGGTGAGGACTCTCTGCCTGGCTTGCAGACAGCCGCCTTCTTGCTGTCCTGATATGGTAGAGAAAGAGCAAACTCTCTAGTGTCTCTCCTTACAAGGAAGCTAATCCCATCATGGGGACCCCACCCTTATGACCTCACCTAGCACCACTTACCTCCTAAAGGCCCCATCTCCAAATGTCATCACATTGGAGGTTACAGCTTCAACATGTAAATTTTGTTGTTTTTTTTTTTGTTTGTTTGTTTGGTTTTTTTTTAGACAGAGCCTCAAGCTATCTCCCTGGGTAGAGTGCCATGGCATCACGCTCACAGCAACCTCCAACTCCTGGGCTCAAGCGAGTCTCCTGCCTCAGCCTCCCAAGTAGCTGGGACCACAGTCGCCCGCCACAACGCCCGGCTATTTTTTGGTTGCAGCCATCATTGTTTGGCGGGTCCGGGCTGGGGATTTGAACCCGCCACCTTAGGTGTATGTGGCTGGTGCCTTAGCTGCTTGAGCCACAGGCGCCAAGCCAACATATAAATTTTGAAGGGACACAAACATTTAGTCTGTAACAATGTCTATTTTCATGTCCTCCAAAGAGCTGATGAGAATGGTTAATAATTTGGTGCAGCTGGTGGTTTCTTGGCTCTCTGGTACCTGTGGCTTGGGGAGCGAGAGCAGAGCAGAGTGGAGCACGGGCCCTTTGCCTCTGTGCTTCTGTCCTGTTGCTGGCGACTGTGAAGAAATTCTCCTCCCTTTCCTTCCAGCTCTCTTTCTCAGAGCCCCTCCCATCTCTCCAGCGTCTGGGCCTCACAGAGTCAGTCAGTTCCCAGGGACTGGGCAGTGGAGGGAGGTGACGACAGGCTGGGGTAGGATGTAGACACATCAAGTGGCAGGTCCCCTTCTGTGTCCTTGTTCTTTTATCTCTTGCCCCTTTTCCCCTCAAACTCCCATGGACTGAAATGTTTACACCATTTATTTTTTTGCAGTTTTTGGCCAGGGCTAGGTTTGAACCTGCCACCTCTGGTATATGGGGCTGGCGCCCCATGGACTGAAATGTGATTTCCGTCCCACAGACGCGGGCACACTGTGCTCTGTACCATGGAGTTTGTTGTGTGGGCGGTATTTCAGAGGAGGAGTTAAAATTGATGGACTAAAACTCCTTTGTAGAAGATGACCAGTCCTGTGACTATCGGTCCCAACTTTGGGATGTACACACCACTCATTAGTGTCAGGAACTTGCAATGTGGGACATGTTACGTTTGGATGAAGCCATCTCACTTTTTAAAAAACTTCCGCCCCTCTGCATTGTCTTCTCTTTCAATACCTATAGCTGATTTATTTATTTATTTTTTGGCCGGGGCTGGGTTTGAACCCTCCACCTTTGACATATGGGGGCTGGTGCCCTACCCTTTTGAGCCACAGGCGCCACCCCTGTTTTTTTTTTTTTTTTTTTTTTTAATCAAGGAAGGTTTGGTTCTTTCCTAGATGGAAGGAAACCAATGGCCCTGCCAATCTTCTCCCCGTGCAGGAGGTCAGGGCACCAAAAGCAAGCTGTGTTATTGGTGCTGGTTGGGAGGGGTGTGGGCAGAGGGGAAGAGTCCAGAGTGCTTCCTCCACACTCAGAGGCGGTTTAAATGCAGTGACATGGTTTTCCTGGGTGGCTGAAGTGGTACTTGCAGGTGAGCCTGTCTTAGAGGTTCTGCTTGAGAAGAATGATGACGCTTGGTCACATGGAATCACATCTCCTTGCCAAGTGACAAGAGCTCTTTGTACACACTGGGTGAGATGTGTAGGATCACCTTCCTTTCCTCATCTGCTGATCAATAGTGCAACTCTCATGCCCAGGTTTTGGGGAGAAGCTAGCTCGGTCAAGGGCACCCCACTGTACTCTGTCTGACTCTGATACCTGGGCCAAAGCACCTGGGCAAACCCCTGGCACACGAGGTGGGGCAGGGTGGGTGCACATCTGGTGGGTGTCTGGGCGTGATGCAAAGGAAGGGAAAGGGCTCTGTGCACATGCACAGGAGGGGGCGGTGCAGGGGATGGCTTCTGTGGCCTTCATAACCACTGACATTCTGTGGCCAGAATGAAAAATCTGTGTGTGGGACACAGCCCAGGGCTGTCTGCCATCACAAGGGCCCAGGGCAGGATCCACACCACTGCAGCCGCTCCTGCTCCGCTCCCAGGCCCGTCTTCCTCTCTGGGGCCTGGCACCGTTGTGCCAGCTACCCCTTCACTCACACAGGCGTGGGCCTCAGCCAGGGAGGTGGTGCTGCTTTGGGTGGCTGGGTGGCCCTGACATAGCTGTGCTTGTTTTTAAAGGAGGATGACAGTCACCTGAAGGTATTCTGTGAGCTTCTGGGCCTGGAGAGTAGCAAAGTCGCTCAGTGGCTGTGCAATCGCAAAATCATCACAAGCTCTGAGACAGTGGTGAAGCCCATGACCAGGCCCCAGGCTGTGAACGCCAGGGATGCGCTGGCCAAAAAGATCTATGCCCACCTGTTCGACTTCATCGTGGAGAGAATTAACCAAGCGTTGCAGTTTTCAGGCAAGCAGCACACTTTTATTGGTGTTTTGGACATTTATGGGTAAGATTCTCTTTAGTGAGCCCATCTTTCCTCATTTAAATGTCAAATACCTCGTTGTTTTTGATCATTTTGCTCTGGTTCTTCTTTTGCATCTCACATAATTGGGAAGATGATTTTCTCTGTTTCTGCATGTGTGCATGCTAAGTACAGTCCCCTGTGTAGCAGCTCGTATAGCTTATGGCAAGGAGAAGCGAGCTAGAAGCTCGGAGCCTCCAGTAATCCTAAGAAACGCCTTGGTGAAAAGGGCGTGGGGAGGGATTTGGCTCTTCTAACAAACATGAGAGCTGGCGAGATGAGAGCATCAGTGATTGGCAGTCTCTACTCCTGTGGTGTGGAGAGCCGCAGGTGTGTGTCTGTAAGAGGCTGGAGGAGAAGGCAGTCGGGGGCGCGCATTCCAGCTGACCCCCTCACTCCGACTGTGTCGCTTCTCCTGCCTGCAGAACGCCTGCATGGCTCTCTCTACCTAACACTGCCATGATGGATTCTTCTCACTAAGGCTTCTTTATTCCCCCAGATACTGTCTTTCTCTCTCTCTCCCTTCTGCTAACGCAAATAGCCCTCAGACACTTAAGAGCAATTGTTCCTGAGCAAGGTAGCCTAGCGATCCACGTCGGGAACATAGCTAAATAAGCCGGGGCTGGAGACCTGGCCAGTCCCAGGACCCAATACCCCTGGGCCACTGTGCCTTTGATTTGGGGTGTGTTACATAAACACTGGATTACTAAGGGCCCGCAGCAGGCGCTCGCTGCATGTCGGCTCCGATGCCAATCCGTTCCCATGAGCTTTCGCACTTAATCCTTAGACAACCTTATAATCATCCCCATTTTAGAGATGTAACAACCAGGGCTTAGAAAAATCCAGTACCTTGGTCACAGTTGCTGCACTGGTGGGAGAAATCTGGCCTGATGTGAGGCTCTCACTGCTTCTGTTCCCCTCAAAGTCCCCTGAGGTGCAGAGCTCTGAGGCCCTTTCCATTCTATCGGGGATGATAGTCCCTCCAGTCCTGAGCCTTGTCTAAGCCCTGAGGCCAGAAATGGACTTAAATCCAGGCCCTCCCGGTCAACCACCCTCCTCACCTAAATCCTCTTCCATCCTTGGGGTTTGCCCAGCCCTTCTGCGAGAGTTCTAATACTTCCACCCCCATAGAGTTTTGTTTTCCTTCTCTCTGCCTCAGCCTGCTTCTCTAAATCTCAGATTCAGCTCATGCTGAAGAGGCTTATGCAATGGCCAGATTGAAAGCTGGCATGGGGGGGCTCGAGGGGGCTCTTATCCCTTGGGCCTTGTTGGTTGGCAGCTGCCTCGCTGCACAACCCTTTATCCTCTCCCTGGACCAACCTGGTTTCTCAGTGGGAGGAGGGAAGATGGTCTCAGGAAAGGCATCCCAGAGTATTCCACCTGGACTGGGAAATCTCCTCCCATACCCTGGTGAGAAGCAGCTAAAAGCCAAGCCTTGGGCCTTCAGGCCCCTGCTGTTGGCTCCTGGGGGATGGGAGAGGGAGGGGCCACAGCCATGCTGTTGGGCTCCTGCCCAGGCAGAGAGGCAGCTGTTCCCAGAGCTGTGCAATGGGAGGCAGTGCCTCTAGGGGGTTACTTTGTTAGATTCTAGGTTAATACATATGGCTCCCAATTGGTAGTATATGCCAACAGTTATAAAATAATAATATGTGACTGGGATAGGTTAGTAAATTATGTACCTTATCTCGTTTCAAGAAAATATTTGAGCTGCCAGTAAATATTTGGGTTTTAAAAAACAATAGTCCTGATTTTAAAATAATCTCTTTCATTGTGGTAGAAATACATAATTGTTGTATTATTCTCTTTTCTTTCCTGTGTTTTAAAAAAAAAAAGTCTTTAAAAATAGTAGCCCTATACCAGGTGTAGTGGCTCCACCTGTAATCCTAGCACTCTGGGAGGCTTCAGTGGGTGGGTTGCTTGAGTTTAGGAGTTCAGGACCCGCCTGATTAAGAGCAAGACCCCATAACTACAAAAGTAGAAAAACAAGCCAGGTGGGGTGGTGAGCACTTATAATCCCGGCTACTTGAAAGCAAGGCAGGAGGATCACTTAACCCAGGAGTTTGAGGTTGCAGTGAGCGATGATGACACCACTGTACTCTATCTAGGGTAGAGTGAAACTGTTGAAAAAACAAACAAAAAACCCACTTTATTTTAAGAAGATATTATACTTTTATCCACAGTTACGTGCCAGGTGCTGTGCTGAACAGAATAGACAGGTGGTCCTTGCCCTCTCTGGACTTTGATTTTAGTAGGAGGGGGACAGGCAGTTAGTAGGGGTTGGGTTGATTCCTAGGAAGGGAGCAAGGCGTGGTTGTGCTGTGTGCAAGGTACAGCAGGTGGGACTCAGGTCAACAAACCTGAGACAAAAGTATTCGTAAATTCACAAGGACTTGTTAGAGTAAATTTTCCATTTTAACTTTAAAATCAAATTCCTCTTTTGAAATTCTAAAAATAGCACGCTTGCTGCCACCCATGAACATCTGGTACCTCTCCCAAAAGTCAGCTCTCCTTTAAGAAGGGCATTCAGAGCCTGGGGCGTGCCCTTTCCCACTTTCTCCAGCCGGCTTCCCTGTAGCTGAGCCCCTGCCCGGGCATACCCTGCAGCCTCTGAAGGAGCTCAGTTTGGCCTGGAAATAAGGAAGTCTCAAAGGAAAAGTCAGCGTTGTGGAAGGGAGTGAAACTGCAGCAAGCTTGGAGCTTTAAGCTCAGAGCAGCACAAAGGCCTGTGACTCCCTGGCCTGTCATGTGTTTGTATTCTTGGACCCAGAGTTGTAAAGCCTGGGTCTGGGGGTCATACCCCTGGAAGTGAGCTTTAGTATACCAGTTGTATGACCCAGAGAAAGTCACAGAACCTCTCCAAACCCCAGTTCCTGTGTCTATACGATAGGTCCTCTCTTGCAGGTGTGTGTGTGTTGTTGAGACAATCTCCCTCTGTCACTCTGGCTAAAGGGCAGTAGCACATTTGGCTCCCAACAACCTCAAAATGCTGGGCTCCCGCGATCCTCCTGACTCAGCTTCCCAAGTAGCTGGGACTGCAGGTGTGCCGTCATACCCAGCTAGTATTTTTATGTTTTGAAGAGATAGGGTCTTGCTATGTTGCCTGGGCTGATCTCAAACTCCAGGGCTCCAGCAATCCTCTCACCTCAGCCTCCCAAAGTGCTAGGATTATAGGTGTGAGCCCCTGTACCCAGCCTATTTTTAAGATCAAATGAAAGAACCTCTGAAGGCACCTTGAAAACCATGAGCATTATTCAGATATGGAGTATTGTCATAACCAATGTGTCTCCGGCATTTTAAGTCACAGATTTAGGTCTTTCCACGAGTTTTAAACTTCAGCTATGAGTGCACCAGAGTACTCATTGATATTTAACAGTTCACCTTGTTCTAGGAAGTTCTGCCCTTGGCTTAGGCTATGGGCTGCAGAGCACATTGAGTCCCTTTTGGTTCTGGCCCAGTGCCAACCTGGCTTTTCCTCCATGTGGGGACTGGCCTCTCAGCCTCTGGGCCACTGAGGCTATACACATGTGGAGCGGGGCCATCAGCGCCGTGTGAGTTCTGCCCCTGCTGTAGGTCACCCTGGAGCTGTCTGGAGGACAGTCTAGTCCAGGGGTCCTCAAACTTTTTAAACAGGGGGCCAGTTCACTGACCCTCAGACCATTGGAGGGCCAGATTGTAGGCCCCGGGACAAGTCGGCTGCTAAGCAGGACAAGCAGTGGCGGCAAAAACACCTCGTGGGCTAGATAAATGTCCTAGGTGGTCCGCAGTTTGAGGATGCCTGGTCTAGGCCCTTACTCTGCCCAAGAAAATTCTAGACTGAGCCAAATTGGGACCTGTGGTGGGAGCTAGCAGAACTAGAGCAATTAAAAACAAAGGCTCTGGGCTCAGCGCCTATAGCTCAACTGGCTAAGGCGCCAGCCACGTACACCTAAGGTGGTGGGTTTGAATCCCCAGCCCAGACCCACCAAACAACAATGACGGCTGCAACCAAAAAATAGCCGGGCATTGTGGTGGGCGCCTGTGGTCCCAGCTACTTGGGAGGCGGAGGCAGGAGACTCGCTTGAGCCCAGGAGTTGGAGGTTGCTGTGAGCTGTAATGCCAAGGCACTCTACCCAGGGGGACAGCTTGAGGCTCTGTCTCAAAAAAAAAAAAAAAAAAAAAAAAAAGGCTCTGGAGGCACTTAGAGCTCCCCAGAACTGCATTTCTGGCACCTCTTGCTGGCTGCTGGTCCTCACTGTGGCCACCTTCTTCTCTGACCCTCATGTGTGACAGTGAGGTCATAGTATTCCTCTATGAAGGGTGGCGTCATGGTTAAGGGAGGGGACATACACAAATGCTGACACCTGAACGCACCCTGCTAACCTCCTTCCAGCAGAATGCTCATCCGGCCCCCTGGTAAGTGTCACACCTCTGTGTGCTTGACCAGCACCATGATTTACAGATGGGACAATTCACATGAAAGTGCAGTTCTCTGGCTGTTCTTGAGAATCAGGTATCTAAGACTCTGGCCTGCATTCACTTATGGTCATTGCTGGCAGGAGCTGAGAGGCAGCCCCTTAGGGGGCTCCTGGATGCCACAGACCCCTGTGGCTCACTGTTGTGTCATATCCAGCCTGCTTCCATGTCTGTCACCTGCCAGGCTCCTCTGAGCTCTTGGGCTTGCACTTGCAGGGCAACTACAGAAATAGATATTGAATGTCTGAGGACGGAGGCAGGCTCTGTCTGTCCTGCACCTACTGGGTGTGCTAGGCTATGGGGTATTAGATGACCTTGCCCTTTTCCCCCAGAAACTAGGAAAGCATCCCCACACGAGGCAAAATTGTCTTTCTTCCCCTCAACAGGTAGGGACTCTGCAGAATAGGAAACCTCATTGCTTTCTCATTGAGAGCATGGGCATTACAGTCAGGCAGGCTCACAGCTAAGAACACACAAACTATGTGACCCTGGGCAAGTTTCTTAATCTCTCAGAGGCTTACTTCCTGTTCTGTAAAGTGAGGAGGACAATGCTAGTGTCAGTGTTGTTATGTGGGTTAAATGATACTCCATATGGGGACATTCCTGTTCCACTGCCTGGCTTGGGGCAAGTGTTGTGTTCATATGAGATTCCTTCCAGGGGACAACCAGGAAAAAGATTATTTATAAACTGACAAGGATATCATTAAAACCAGAAGCTTTGAGGTTTATTTAAAACTTGCAGAAAACACAGCAAACGTTTAAGCTTTGAAGTTGTCAAAAAAAAAATCTATAAATGAGCACATATGTTGTACTTCAAGTTATATTTTAATTTGTTTAAACTGTATTTCAGTTTTGAAACCTTTGACGTGAACAGCTTTGAACAGTTTTGCATCAATTATGCTAATGAAAAACTGCAACAACAGTTTAACCTGGTAGGTGACTTTGCGGCCTTCTTGGAACTAGTTCTCAGTCCTGTGTGTACATGAACATGGAAAGCAGCACGTTTCAGCCTCCTTTGCTCTTCATGGTTGAAATTTTCATTTAAGGAGCTGCAGGCTGGGTCGCTGCACCACCTTGTGGCCACATTGTGAAATCACACCCTCTCATCTCCCATTTCATGTTTTTTTGAGCCACCTGCCAAGTTGAGAGTTTTCCTGCCATTCTTAGATACAGACCTTCTGTGCAGCCAGACAAAATTTTCCTTCCTTTTGAGCCTCTGAATCTTTGCACTTTCTTCCCTCTTGGCCTCAGCCCCACCTGCTCTGTTTTTTCCCCCCATCCTTCATCTTCACCTAGTAAACTCCTGCTTGTCTTTGAGAGCCAGCTGACCCAAGAGCCTTCCCTGATGCCCCCTGCCCCACCTCTTCCTGTGCACTTCCTATTGCAGGCCTGTCACATGGAATCATCATCATCTGTACACTTGATTACTCAGAGAGGCCAGGGCTTGTGTTCTTCATGTGTCTCAGCCCAATGCCTCCCTCAGCACTGAACAGTGCAGTGCTGTTTGGGCTAAGGGAGTGCATTTCTCCAGACTTAATTTAGAATAAGATGTATCTGGTAACTTCCTAACTACCAGTAAGTCAAATATGTCCTCCCATGAAAACAGACAACAGGATTCTGATTTTTTCCTACAGGGAAGATTCTTTTACTCAAAGAACTTTATTGAGGCCTATTTATATGTGCCAGATACTAAGTTGACTGCTGAAATAGAAAGATTAATAAGACACTTAAATTCGGAAGGGCATGATGGCTCATGCCTGTAATCCTAGCACTCTGGAAAACCAAGGAAGACCTAAGGAGTTTGAGACCAGTGTGAGTAAGAATGAGACCCCTTGTCTCTAAAAAATAGCCGAGCATTATGGCAGGTGCCTGTAGTCCCAGCTACTTGGGAGGCTGAGGCAAGAAGATTGCTTGAGCCCAAGAGACTTATGTTGCTGCGAGTTGTGACATGGCACTCTAGCCACGGTGGCAAAGTGAGACTCTGTCTCAAAAACAAAATTGAAATATGAAGTTTTACTAAGTGTTACTTATGGCTCTTTTGGTGTTTTGATATTACTATATGCATTAAATATAATTTAATTTAATTTTTTTTTTTTTTTTTTTGCAGTTTTTGGCCAGGGTTGGGTTTGAACCCGCCACCTCCAGCATATGGGACCGGTGCCCTACCCTTTTGAGCCACAGGCGCTGCCCTATTTAATTATTTTGAGACAGACTCTTGCTCTGTCACCTAGGCTGGTGTACAGTGGCATCATCATAGCTCACTACATCCTCAAGTCCTGGGCTCAAATGATCTCTCTACCTCAGCCTTCTAAGTTACTGGGACTACTGGGGCAAAATCACCACACCCAGCTAATTTTGTAGAGATGGGATCTTCCTGTGTTGCCTGGGCTGTTCTCAAACTCCTGGCCTGAAGTGGTCCTCCCACCTTAGCTTTCCAACATGACAGGATCATAGACGTGAGCCACCATGAAATTGCCTTAAGTGCAATTTCAACCTCTTAAATAAGTTCCTTAAATGGCAGGGACTTTATTGAACTCACTTTGGAATCCCTAACAGTGCCTTGCTCCTAACCAGAAATCGATGAAATTAAAAGTTGATTGGACATAAGTCTCCCATTTGTTAAGATTGCCTTCTTTAATGTTGGCTGTCTTTCTGAAAAGCCATGAAACCTGAAATAGTTTCCTAACTCACATTTCCCTTGAGCTTCCATCCTAAACCTTGGCTACATTTTCCTAGAGTTTTGATTTCAGTGCATAACAGAAATCACCTTAAAATCCTAAAAATTCCTTCAAGGAAAGGTTATACATTTGTTCGTGTTCAGCATCTGGGAATTTAGTTCTCCCACACAACTCCTGAGGAAAAGATAGCACAGTGTCGTGGAGAGCGTGGGCTCTGGCTCAGACTGAATTGGGTTTGAGTCTCAGAACTACCACCTCCTCCTCTAGGACCTTGGGCTCTCCCAGCCTCAGTTTCCTCCTTTCAAAAATGAGTCATCATACATTATATGCGTGTCCAAAATATCACATGGACCTCAAAATATGTCCAGCTATTATGGTTCAGTTTAAAAACTGAGTCAGTGGTATCGGCCTAACCTTGTGAGGAGAGGACCTAACATGTATGCTTCTTTACTTTTCCTTGTTTCGGAATTAATTCACGTTTGGGCATCAAATTTCATCCCATTGCTGTTGTCTATTTCTTTAACATCTGCAAGGATTTCCTGGAAGTTGAACCTTTATAACCTCAGCTGAAGTTTATTCCCAGTACATATGTACTGGAAGTCCTGTCTCTGGAAGTCAGACTCTCTGTAGTCCCTGTCCTCTCCTGGTCCCCCTGCTGCTCCCTGAGGACATGCCCACCTCAGAACACCGTGCCAGACACCCTGCCAAAAACCACACATCAGAGGCCGCAATTCTTTCTTCTCTTTTTCTTTCCTGTCTCACTCTTCTTCCTCTTCCACATCTTCCTCTGCTTTTTCTGAGTCATCCGTCAAGGTGTGGGTCCTCCAGGGAGGGGCACCTCTGGAAATGTCAGCCCAGAACCCTGAGGGAGGGAAGACTCCGCCTCCAGCCCTCCAGCCTGGCTGCTGCTGGCTCTGCCTCAGCTGCGGGAGCTGGCGGGGGCAGGTTGAGAAGTGAGCCTGCCACCTTTCCTGCTTGGCTTTCCTAACCTATGCTCCTTTAGTGGTGAGCCAGTGCCAGGACCCCGTGTCCTGGGCCTAACATTCCTCCTAACCCCTTCCCTTCACCTCCTCTCCGAGTCCCGGCCACTGGGAACCTGGGACAGGTTCTGCCTACAGTCTTGCCCTCCTCAGATCCACACTCCAGATCTCATCGTGACCCCCTACACAGACACACCACTCACCCCCCAGTCGGTCCTCACTGCCCCCTGGGAAAGGCCACTGGCCCTGAATTCTCTTGGGTAATCTGCTTGTACCATTGCTGGCACAGGGCCTCCCACCACTACCAGACTTTCCAGCCCACCTGGGGGGTGCCTCTCAACCTCCGCTGGAGCCTCTGTTCTGTTCTCACTCTTCCCACTGAGATTCCCACCCACCACCTGCCAGGCAAACTTTATCCTCCAGGTGAGCCTGGGCCTCATCCTCCAGGAAGCCTACTCAGTAGCCTTACTGCCCCAACACGTGTGGCAGTGAGTGGGTGAACAAAGTGAAGGAAGATCTTCGAGGGGTGGGCGTTTCCTGCTGGGCCCACAGCCAGCATCCTCCAGCGTCACCCAGCCAGGCTGCACAAGGAGACAGAGGCTGGATCTGTCCCTGGATAGCCACAAGCAGGGAGGAGCTCCAGGACCACACTGCATACCATTTGGTGCTGTTGGTGGTGCAGGCCCGCCCAAGCCTGACATGCTAGGAGGTGGGGACCCACTCAGACCAGGTGGGGGGGCGGCTGGGAGACTCCCAGCGGGAACTCAGAGGCACTGATCATGGGTAAGGCAGGGGTGAGGTGAGGAGGTGAGCCTGTACTTCAGGCTCTTGTTTAAACATGAACGTTACAAACCAACCATTTACCTTTATTTTCTAAATGCTTATGTCCTGGTCTTTGGAAGCACAATTTAATATTATTTTACTTTCTGTGTTAACCTGGATCTCCAGCATGTCTTTAAACTTGAACAAGAAGAATATATGAAGGAAGATATCCCCTGGACTCTGATAGATTTTTATGATAATCAACCAGTTATTGACCTGATTGAAGCAAAAATGGGCATTTTGGAGTTACTGGATGAAGAATGCTTGGTAACTTTAAAGAATAATTGTTTTTTTTTCAACTTCTTATTAGTAAACAGATGAGCATTTTGCAAAGCGACTTTTTTTTTTTTGAAATGTGTTTGTGAAATCCTAACATGTTACCCAATTGACTGGATATAAATGCTGGACACTAGTCCATAGCAGGAGCTCCAGGAGGCCTGGTGACCCTCCCACCCTCAGGATGTATGCACTGCCCTGGGTAGCACCCTTGTAGATGACACCCAGCAAGGTGGCCTTTGAGGCTGTCCCGAGGTGTATGCAGACATGAGTTTGGTGGGCAGTGCCCATAGCTCAGCGGCTGGGGCACCAGCCACATACACCAAGGCTGGCAGGTTCGAACCCAGTCTACAGCCAGCTAAACAATGACAACTGCAACAAAAAAATAACTGGGCATTGTGGTGGGCACCTGTAGTTCCACCTGCTCGGGAGGCTGAGGCAAGAGAATCGCTTAAGCCCAATGAGGTTGTGAGCTGCGACGCCACAGCACTTTGCCAAGGGCGACATACTGAGACTCTGTCTCAAAAAAAAAAGAGCTTGGAAACAGCAAGTGACTCCATTCCAACTGTTAATAACTAACAAGAATCAAGTGTTCGTTTATATCCTGATTCCTGTGAGTCATCAGGAGGTGTAGCTGAAAAATCAACATCATATGATTCAGAAGAGGTCTCTAGGCGTTTCCTCAGTAGTATTTCCTGCGGCTTAGCAGTATCCATCACAGGGCCACAAGAACAAATAATCTCCAGGAGAGCAGATTAATGTTTTTGGTCTAAAGGATGTATCTTGATGCTCAAACATGGAATTTGTTTCTTCCTCAAAGATTTACTTATATAAAACTAGTGATGATAATACTAAGGATTTATTTGCATTTTTCTCCCTAGAAGGCTCAAGTCCATAGTTCTTGTCCCAGATTATCCTTTCTGGTACCACTCGTCCCACCAGTGACAAAGGACTCAGGGGCAGGCTCCAGGCAGAGCCTTCTGGGATGATCTGCTGCGAGAAGGTGGAGAGGCCAATGTAGCCTCTAGGGTCATGAGTTTCATGCCACCAAAATTTTTAAAGTTCATTAATTATTTTTGAAAGAAGTTCAAAGCACAGTAAATATATTCTTTTTTTTTTTTTTTTTTTTTTACTCTTTTTGATCAACATAATTTAAGTGTGCCATGGAAGTTTAATGACAGGTTTGAATGTCTCATGAGATAAAAAATGGTTGGAAAACGCTGCCCTAGCAGACTTGTGCTCACTCTACGCAGCCATCTCCTAGGTGACCAGGAGTCATGTAGGCACAGTGGTGTATTGGAGTCACTGAATTTGGACTGGATTTAATTGATGGATTCAGAATCACTAGTCTCAAGAATAAGTTTTTCATCTAGCTTAGTTCGAGTTTTCATCACAAGAAATAGTTATGCTTTGTTCTTCTAAAAGGACTTTGCTATATCCCTGGAAATGTCATCCCAAATACCCCATCAATATATAGAATTATTTGTCAGTTAGTTTTTCTAATTACCCCGAAGATTAAGATCAAGGGCACATTAATGTCTAGAGTTGCTTTTTAAAAGGGATGGGGAGGGCCTTGAATCTAGAGCCGTTCGGTCTGAGGTGCCTATCATCTCGGCCTCTTAGAATCAGTGCTTTTCGTTGCCTCTGTTAAACTCTAGTTTTCTTTCTTGCTACTTAGTTTATTTTTATTTTCCAGCTGCCACATGGAACTGATGAAAACTGGCTGCAAAAGCTGTATAATAATTTTGTCAACAAGAATGCCTTGTTTGAAAAACCTAGAATGTCAAATACGTCCTTTATCATCCAGCACTTTGCTGATAAGGTACTGTGAAGGGCTGTCTGCCTCAGAACCAGAGAAGTTTCCAGAAGGAGTAGGCAGGCCGGGATTTTTCTGAAGGGATTCAAGTCATACTTCACATGTAGTTTTGATGAAGGATATGTGTGTGTGTGTGTGTGTGTTTTATAATTCTTAATTTGTTTTTATGACAAAAATACAAGTTTTAGTAGTACTACTTTGAAGATAAATGTGTTGTTAGTAGACCTCATTTCTGATTTTGAATTTACTATAGGTTCATTAGCCTCCTACCAATTTCTTTTCTTTTCTTTTTTTTTTTTTTGAGACGGAGCCTCAAGCTATCCCCCTGGGTAGAGTGCCATGGCATCATGCTCACAGCAACCTCCAACTCCTGGGCTCAAGCGAGTCTCCTGCCTCAGCCTCCCAAGTAGCTGGGACTACAGGCGCCCGCCACAACGCCTGGCCATTGTTTTTTTTTTTTTTGGTTGCAGCCATCATTGTCGTTTGGTGGGCCTGGGCTGGGGATTCGAACCTGCCACCTTAGGTGTATGTGGCTGGCACCTTAGCCGCTTGAGCCATAGGCGCTGAGCCCCAATTTATTTTCTGTATGAAGTTTTAAAAGTCAGCATAACTATTTCTTGTGATGAAAACTATATCTTTTTTTCTGAGTTTTTTTTTTTTCTTTTTAGGGACAGAATCTCACTTTGTTGCCCTCGGTAAAGTGCTGTGGCGTCAGAGCTCACAGCAACCTCAGCCTCCTGAGTAGCTGGGACTACAGGCGCCTGCCACAATGCCTGGCTATTTTTTTGTTGCAGTTTGGCTGGGGCCGGGTTTGAACCTGCCACCCTCGATATATGGGACTAGTGCCCTACTCACTGAGCCACAGGCACTGCCCTTTCTGAGGTTTTTTTATTAAGCTGGAATATATTTATTACAGTGGCAACTCAGGTTAACTCTAGATGATGGGTTTTCTACCTGATATTTATTTTCCTTTTTGTATAACCTCCTATTTACTTTTTTGCTAAACAAACGTTACTTTTATAAAAAGAAAAATAATTTTAAAAATCACATTATAGGAAGCTTAAAAAGTGGAAGGAAAACACACATCACCATAGCCACTTGCCTGAAATAGACATCTCATTTGTGCTTCTCCCTTAAGGAAGCTCCTACCTCCTCTATTCCCTGAAAGGCTGTTTCCCTGGTGGCCTGGCCCAGTGCCTAGTGGTCATGGGCATGGCTTGTGCTCTGTCTTTGTCCCAAAGGCTGGTGCAACATGTCAGAGCTGGTCACTCCCGAGAGATTGAGGGGGAGGTGGGGAGACAGCCACCTGGAAAGTTGTAATTACCTTCATGCGCTAGCAGAGTTCTGTTAAATATGATAGGATTTTAGTACTTCAAGTTTTAGAGATAGGTTCCTGAAAAAAATGCCTGTGAAATGCATGACGACATGTCAAATTATATTTCCTAGTTTTGTCCTTATAATTCCAGGATTCTGTTTCCATGGGGAAAAGTTACTAAAAACAAACAAGACCACACTCCATGAAAAGCGCATATGGGGCGGCGCCTGTGGCTCAGAGGAGTAGGGCGCTGGCCCCATGTACCGGAGGTGGCGAGTTCAAACACAGCCTCGGCCAAACACTGAAAAAAAAATGCATATGGGCTTCCTAGAGTCTTTATAACGTGTGGTTTCTATATGTTGGAGTCTTTCACCTGCCATTGCCAAGAATTCCCCCCTTAAAATGGCTGCGCAGCATTTTGGGTGGCCTGTGGGTTGGTAGGAAGAAACCACACACAGCATAGTGCTAGATCAGGTTCTCAATCTCATTAGCCAAGGGAATAAAATCATTCTGGAAGCATCACAGCAACTCCACACATCTTCCCTGGGTCGCAGAGTCTATGACAGACCCCGTGCCCATAGACGGGCCCCCAGACCAGGAAAGCTCCATTTGCTACGTCTGCCCATGTAGACTGGGGCTCCCACCACCATTCTGGAAGGATTTGTGCAGCAACCCATGTACTTCACTCGCAGGGAAACCTTTACAGCGTCCCTGGTTCTCAACCTGCCAGCAAAGACACTTTCTCATCCAGGGGACAAAGCAGAGGTCATGGCCAGGCGACCCTCTGTCTTCAGATTCTAGCACCTTCAAAAGTCTGTTTCCTCATTGTCCATTTTTAAAAATTAATTTTCAATATATTATTTAATTTATGAAAAATACAGAGGGTGCCAAAAAACATTTGCACATTGTAAGAAAGGAAAAACCCTGCAATGCTCAGTAGATACCGATAACAAAAGATGAATACAAGTCGCGTGGAACACTGCTTATAATTGCTGAAGTCAAAAGTGACTTGAGTTTTACAAACTGAATGTAGTTTTTCTCTTTCTTAAAATGCGCACACATTTCTTTGGCACCCTCTGTAGATATCACGTGTTAAAACAGATGACCCAGAGGCATAAATTATGGGGCTTTGGGATGTTTAAGCAGCCACCCTGGTGTGCTGTTGTGTGAGGGATTCAAGAAGCCTTGTTAGTCAGGAGGGGCAGCCTGGAGAGCGTTTCCAGAGCTGAATTCAAGCAGTGTGAACA